CAAACTCTTTTCACAAGCCACTCCCAAAGGTTCTCAAACCACATGGTCAGGTATAGTCACAGCAACGACTCCACTTCTCTCTCACCAAATTGTGTTAGTTACTTTTCTCTTGTTGCTGAGATAAAATACCCGAGACCCAAAGTTAAAGGAGGAAAGCTTTATTTAGCATAAAATTTGTAGAGGTTTTAGTCCATAATCAACTGGCTCTAAGGCAAGGTGGTGAAGCAAAGGGACAACCAGTCATGGCAGTGGAAGACAGGAAAAGCAATAAGAGCAAGAGGGAGGAGCAATCCTCTTTTCCTCCCTTATATTGTTCCTCCCTTGTATTGTATGCTACCTGCCCTAGGGCAGGTGTAACACTCACACCCCAATCCCAGCACTAGACCATGAACCAATCACAAACTCTAGATTCAGCTGCCTCCAAAAAGTTAGCCCCCCTTGACCACAAGAGGTTTTGGGTGGACATCCAGACATAAACCATAAAACCACCTTTATGACTGATACAAAGTCAAATCAAGCTCGTACTAGGCTGTTGTCAATTTCCAAAGAGGGAGTAGGGAGATTCCCTTTCTTATTAGGTCTAAGCTGCTGTTTACTGACAGCTCTTTGTTTAGGGCTGGGGAGCACTTACAGGTTCTCTTAGAGGTGGCTGAGGAAGCTGGGTGTGGTGGCATGTATTTTAATCTCAGCACTCTGGGAGGCTGATCCAGGAAGTTGTCAAGCTCAAGCCCAGCCCAGGAAATTTAGCGATTTAGAATCTATTTCAAAATTTTAAAAACTTTAAAAAGGGCTAGGGATGTAGCTCAGTGGCAGAGTACTTTCCCCTTGCCTAGCATAGGTTCAACCTCCACTACAAAAAAAGATGACAGTACTGGGGAAGTTTTTATGTTTCTTTCCATGCTCTTCTCACACACCCCACTGGAAGTGGAGTCCTGTTACTAATGAGGGCCTTGCAAGTGTGGAGTACTCCATCTTATCCCTCTAGCTCAGTTCCTTAGATAGCACCTTCATGCTGTGTCACTCCTACTTCCAGAATAGCGAGCTCGTCTCTGAAGATTTTCTAAGGATGTAGCACAGAGACCTTGGAGGAGTGGAAATTAGTCCAGGATTTCCATCTCAAAAGCACATTTCTTAATATAGAGACCTCAAATATGCACTTACTCAGGTTGCCCTAGAGGCAATTTGGACTCAGCATTGGAAGTAGTAGATATTCTAGACCACTGGTTTCTGGTTTCCAGAAAATAGACTGAAGAGGCTTTTCTGATAAATCAATCCACAGGTGAAGACCAGGAGGCTGTAGGGGACAGTTTTCAGGAAGTACCAGGAGAGGACTAGAACTTGGCATGCAGGCCAAAGGTCATTTTGGATTTTAATATGATCTCCAAGTCCACCTTCTACTTACTATACTTCCAGAAGAAAAGAAGGTACAGATTCTCTATAACAGGGGGCTCAGAAGTCAGTGGGAATGGGCAAATGTTTTAGAAGTGATTGCACTGAGACTTCAGAGTCCCTGGGAAGCACTTAGGGTAGAAGAGCCACCATGACAAGCTTCTACCTATGTCCTTATGGAAGGCCTTGACTTCAGAGATGATGGACACCTGCCTGACAGAACAAGGCCCAGTCAGCAGGCCAAAGTCACAGATGTCTCTGGGGTAGGAAGTCAGGACACCTGTACTTCCTCTCCCCTGGAAACACCTGCATGTAAACAGGTTATCTGTTGTGGATCCCTAGAGGAAGGGCACTAGGTTAGCAGAGCTCCTGGACCATAATGAAATCTCCCATTGATGCAGGGCACCAGGAAGAAAGAAGTCTGGCATCTTGGCTGTGGGCCCTGGTGACCTGGGCTGGTCTCAGATGTGGGGCAGGACTGAACTCCAAGCTGAAAACTATGAAGGATGATCTGAGAGGCAGCCTCAGGAATGAAACCAGAGTCACAAGCCAGCACACAGTACAACTGAGGCATCAATCCAACCAGGCTGCACAGGTGACACCCCAGGGCTGAGGCCTATGTCAGGGGAGAGCCTGCAAACGATAGAAAAGGATCAGGAGACTAACTTAGGGCAAAGGAGTGGGAGAGATTGGAAGAAAATAAAATCATAGGAAGAACTAAAGACA